TTTAATAATAATAAAAATGAAATTTGAAATATGAACATGCTTATTTTTTTAATAATACATATTCGATAGAAATAATATTAATAATAATACTTTTTCTATAAAGTGAACCCACATATTACAACTCGTATAAATTGTCACAGACAAAATCCAAAATCCAAAAACAAAAAATAAAAGGAAATTTTTTTTTCTTATTCTGATCTCAAAAGAAATGAGAATAAATGGTTAAAAAAAACAATTTTTATATACACGCATTATTATAAGAAATTGATCGACAATTCTAAAAATAAAAGTACACGTGTCGGTAAACCGAACGAGCATTTTTTTGGTCTAAAGAAAAATAAAGATAAATGATAATGATACCACGTCAAATATATATATATATATATATATATATATATATATATATATATAGAGTATCTCTACATCCATTTTCTAAATCCCATTCTCTACATTCTATGCAACTTTTACCACACCGGAATTTACGGCGTCAGAATTAAATTTATTAAGATCATTGAAATTTCCATCAATTGGCATTTTCATAGCCGAAATAACTTCAGACATCGGATCAATTTTAGATTGTTGTAACGATGTTGACGTGGTAGATCGAGATGGAGGTGAAGTTGAAGGTGAAGAGATAGGTGTTAAAGTCGGTTTTCTCTATTTATAATGATAAAAAATCAAATTGGTTAATATTAATATTTATAAAATCCAAATTAACATTAAATTAACATATTAAATTAACATATTAAATTAACATTTAAATTAACCTTAATATGAAATTGTTGAAAAGATGAATCAGAGGTAGGAGAGCTTGTTACCGATGAAGAGAAACTATTTGGAGCATCAGTAAATAATAATTTAGGTTGCGATCTCGGTGTTGATGAAGGAATCGATCCTGTATCATTTACTATTTCTAGACGTAACGCAGCTGCAACTTCAGCCATTTGAATTTTAATTTTCTCTGGCTATAATATTTGTAATAATATTTGCAATCGATTAATTGAAATTAAGTGTGAATCTAATACACTAATTAATCAAGTTAATCTTGCTGCAGTAAGAGACTACTCACATCAACTCTTCCACTGCGCATTTCAGCAATTCCAATGTGCCCGGTATGCTATTTACATAAAAAAATTGATATTATTTATTGTAAGTTTAAACATTTTATATAAATAAATAAATAAACAAATATATTTCGTAAATTAATATTTTATAAATAAATATAACACGAAATTGTTTTTGATCTAAAAAGTTGAAATAATAGATGTCATTATTGGTAGAATACCTGAAAATTAGAAGGAAGTCCAATAAATTCTTTGTGAATCTTTTTTGGTCGCTTCAAAACTTTAGCTTTTCTAGCATTGCTGTAATTTTCACTTGGTAAACCATTGTGAAAGCGAGTTCCTTGTTTGTTTTGGTTTGGTTTCAATGACAAAGAACTGATGCCCAAGTTTTTGGATCCTTGATGAGGAAAAGAAACGCATCCTCCCATTTTTATTATTATTATTATTAATGAATGAATATATATTATAATTTTTTTTAAACTTTGCTCTAATACAAAGTTTGCTGGCTTTTTATTGCCGTGAGACGAATTGAAATAATACAAAATTTGTTGGCTTTTTATTGCCGTGAAACGAAAGAAAGGTAAATATATAAAAACGTTACACCTTAAGCTCTATCTAAATTTTGTAAAAAAATTTTAATTTTAATCCTTTGTGTTCAACCAATATCAATTTTGACACAGTTTATTTCCAGGTAGAATGGACAGGAAATAAATGTTACAGTAAATTAAATAGTAGCGCAGAAAAAAAGCCCCAAAACTAAACGTGTCTTTTTATGGCAAAAAAAAATAAACCAAAGAAAAAAAGCCTTTTTATTTTTATAGTGTAAAAATAAAATTACATAAATTGTTGCGCCATTAAATTAAAAAAAAAAAAAAATTCTTTACCAGCGAAAAAGATGAACTAATTAAAGACGGGGGGCAATCAATAAATATTAATGTAGAATCTTTGTGCTTCATTTTTAACTATCTTTATTTGGAAGGATAATTTAAGGGGTAAAAAGAGAGATATCCCCAAAAAAAGATGTTACATTCAAAGATAAACGACCGAAAGCAAAGACATAAAAGCACGATATAAAATATTTTATCAAATAGGAAATTTTCTTTGTTCATTACTATTGCTTTCTTTCAACGTATGCGGCGCATCATTTCGGTTCTGTACGTAGGTATGTACGTACAGAACTATACATAATTTATTGATTATAACAACAATTTGGTAATTTGACTAGTCCATCTTTCGATTCATTCCTCGGATCCACGTGAGTTTCTCCTATCACTATTGATATTCTATCAATATTCGATCTAGACTATTTTTAGCTAGCTAACTACTTTTGTCATATCATATTATGCGTAAATAAGCATGAGAAATTTGTGTCACTTTTATCTAAAAACCTGTCGTAACTCGAATCGTAACTTGAATCGTAACTCGAATTTGGGTTGTTAGATATCTTTATCAATCAATTATATCAATTATCAAATAATTTTTTTAAAAAAAAACTAATCTAACTAATTAATCTCATAAGCAAGATTAAATACCTGTTATTGTTATGTACATGCGTGTGTAATACGTGTATTTGCTAAACATCCAATAGTTGTTTCGAAGTGATCTTTCAAATTTCTATACTAGTACATGTATAG